ATAATACCTTCCCCTGCAAGATATGGACATCTACCTGTACTAGTACTATAGCGTATGTTTTTCTTTAAAAAAACAAAAAAAAACTAGCACTCATCTCCCCAAATTCATGACCTCCATGGCCTCAGTGCTAAAGCAATCCAGACTCAGCCTCGAACTACTCCAATAGTGGTATCTTTTATTTTGACCAAGTAGAGGATCCCTAATCCAAGTAACTGCAAGTTCGGTTCTGTCACCATTGGGAAGTACTGACCTTCGATGTATTCACTGGGGTCCGTACGCCAACTACAGGTTTTATTGCTCCTGTGCAGGTGTGGACGGAAACACTGTCGGGGACATATTCATATGGCAGTGGACAGGAAATGTGCCATACCTCTTCCTTCCGATATCTTTTATTCTACGGAGAATCTTCCATCACCATCATTCCTAATCAAACGCGATCCAAATACCTCCTTGATGACCAAGATAGTCCTAGTCCGCCTGTCTCAGATCGATATAGACAGACACATATCAGTTCCCTCTGGTTCCTCACCTCCTAACTTTGGAGGGAAGGATGGTCTACCATCTGGATCTATCGTCCAAGCACCCTGGAAAATACTCCCACTTTGGCATCAGTGCTCGATCGAGCTCGAAAACCATCAACTCAATGTCGATGTGTACATAAATGAAATCTTTATTAAATATACTGAAACAAAGAACTACCTTACCAACTTTCTTTGTAACTGTTGTCTACTTGGCTTTCTATTTATGCTTTAAAATGTTATATATCTGCTACTGTTGCCCATTCACCAGATGATTCTGGTACGTAGGACTTTTGTCTCACTCTAGGGTCAAACATCTTTTCACAGGACTCAGTACCACCCGTCCTTCATGTAAACACATTGTTCCTCAATGGTCTATAGATCATTCTAAATTCACTCATGTGCCCGCCATTCGAGCCCATTTTCTCTTCAAATGCAAAATTACTTACTTGGAACAGCCTTCCTAGTGGCTGTCAGATCTGCCAAGGGAACACACGAAATAGCTGGATTGTGATTCGATCCACCTGTTATTCAATTTTCCTGATAAAGTGACTTCCTACTTTAATGTCTCATTCCTGACCTATTCGACTAGTTTTCATGTTTATCTGTGCTTCATCTTACCATCATTCTTCAGATCACCATCTAGAGCACATGCTCCACAATAATTATGTAAGACGCTCACCAGCATTTTGTCTGGACACTACCAGAGCTTCTAAACAGATGACAGGCTCTTTTTATGCTTTCATTCTTTTCATTTCGAAAGTCCAGTTTCGTCCTATTCATCTCTAGATTGATGGTCCAGACTGTATCTATGGCTTGCCAGCGGTCAGACAAGTCACTGTCTAATCAGCTTTAGCCTCACTCCACGGAGTGCTGTCTACCTTGGCTGCATCCAGAGTAGAATCGAGACTCTCGACATCTACCGTGCAGCAATATGATCCATGCCAGCTACCTTTGTGGGGCACTACTGGCTACATGTAGGTTCACGCAATACCACTGGATTTGGCAGAAATGTGTTGGCATCCTTCCTACCGACGTTCTCGGAGTATTATAGAGCTAAAAGTAACAATTTTATGGGATGATCCCCCATGAGGCACATGCTCCTCCCACCCAAGATTCCCCTCAGTTCCTGCAATTTGTCCGCCAAGCACGAGAGTTATACAACAATAAGATACCCATGACGGACAGAGGGGAGGATGGGCGGGTAGTGGGAATTCACAGAGGTCTACTCGAAGAACCATGGTTACAGGTAAGTAACCTTTCTTTTTCGGTGACTTCAACATTCACGCGGAGGCAGAGACCTCTGGGCCAGCTCTTGAGTTCCTGGAAACCATGGCTTCCTTGAACATGTCCCAACATGTCAACGACCTCACCCACATGGGTGGTCATATGTTGGATCTGGTCTTTTCCATCAATTGGAGTGAGTGTGGTATGATGGTGATTGACCTTGTGTCGGTCCCCTTGTCATGGTCAGATCACCATCTGGTAAAATGTAACCTCTCAGTGGCTCTTCCCCCTCGCAGGGAGCAGGGACCTATTGCTATGGTCCACCCTCGAAGGCTACTGGATCCTGTTGGATTCCAGGATGCCATGAGAGGGGTAACGGCTGACCTGGCTGGTGCTCCTGTCAAGGTCCTGGTTGACAGCTGGTTCACCGCTGCCACTAGGGCTATAGACACTATCACACCTAAACACCCTCTCCAGTACAGAGCTCGGCCTGCACCCTGGTTTAACCAGGACCTTCGAGCGATGAAGCGGCTTAGGAGAAGGCTAGAGCGCAGATGAAGAACCCAATGGATTATAATTGGATAGCTGTCAGGGTTGCAACTAACCTTTACCTGACTAAGGTAAAGGCTTACAGTCGGGCATACTTCGCTAACCAGATAAGCGAAGCTTCAAACCAGCAGGCAGAATTATTCTGTATAGTGCACAACCTATCCGGAATTGGTCTGAGTGATGGGCCTCCCCCTAGTATTTCACCAGATCAATTTGCAGCATTTTTAAAATCTAAAGTGGAGGCCATCCTCCAGGAGCTCTCTCCTTTTTTGAAAACAGGGAGTCAAACTGAGATGTCCAGCACTCTGTCTTGCCCCGTGACTTTCGATTCCTTTCAGCCTGTGACGCCAGATACTGAGGACAAGGTGCTTGATTGCTGTCGGGCCACCACCTCCTCCCTTGACCCTTGCCCGGCCTGGCTAATCAAAGCAGCCAGGCCGACAACAACAGAATGGGCCACAGCAATAATAAATGAGTCTTTCCTTGAGGGCATGTGGAAACCTGCCCTCAAGGAGACACTCATTAGGCCCATAAGAAAGAAACTCAATATGGCGGTGGACAAAATTGGCAATTATAGGCTCATCGCCAATGTTTCTTTCATCAGCAAAGCTGGTGGCTGACCAGCTTCAGGCTCACTTGGATGAAACAGATGCCCTGGATCCATTTCAGTCGGGCTTCAGGCCGTGCCACGGTACAGAGATGGCATTGGTCGCCCTGTAGGATGACCTGTTGAGGGAGGCTGACAGGGGTAAAACACCTCTGTTGGTCCTCCTCGACATCTCGGTGGCCTTCGATACTGTCGACCACTGTATCCTCCTGGGGAGGCTCTCTGAGTTGGGAATAGATGGCTTGGCATTTGCCTGGCTCCGTACCTTCCTGGAGGACTGACCCCAGAGAGTACAGCTTGGGGACAATGTCTCAGCCCCGTGGAGTCTCAATTGTGGGGTTCCACAGGGGTCGATTATCTCCCCAATGCTGTGACTCTTGTTTGGGGGGGTGACCCTGGCTGCGAAGAGTGCGGATAGCAGCCTGGGGATACATCTGGACACGACGCCCACCATTGAAACACAGGTGACGGCAGTAGTCCGCACCGCCTTTTTCCATCTCTGGCAGATAGCCCGGCTGCGGTCCTATCTCGATGTTGGGGCCCTCACTACCTTGGTGCATGGACTTGTAATCTCAAGATTAGACCACTGTAATGCGCTCTGCGTGGGGGTGCCTTTCACGCAAGGCCAGATGGGCGAGATACAAATAAATAAATAAATAAATAAACTTTTCTGGAGGTGCTGCCATGTTCACTTTGGACCTGAACATGAAATATAAGTTTAAATTATAGGTACGGTAGTTGATTTTTGCACCATTGAATACATACAAATTGGCCAACACACCCTGCAATTTATAGCTTCCTATCTCAATTTTTTTCCTGGGAAACACTGAATACTTATCAGCACACCCTTGTATATTAAGTTAAAAATACCCTGAGCACTCACACACATTCCATTGTTGTAGGAGTTGCGATTCCTAGTCTTAAAGGCTGGTGGCATTGTGATTTCTCCCCTGTTTTGATCTGCTAGCAGTACAGTGAAGGGTGGTCTGTTTTTACTAACCAGTCCAGCCCTTTTGAATGTTGAATCAGACCTTCTTGGATAATCAGCCAGAGCTACTGTTTTCTTGTATGAGTTGAAGTGATCTGTTTTAGCTGATTCCTGGCACATGTGATTGCAGATACAGTAGGACCCTCATATCCACAGGATCACTATCTGTGTTTTCACGAATCCATAGTCTAGAAATAGTAAAAATATTAAAAGAAAAATCCCTGAAATACATACAATACATATTTCCACCATTTATTGACCAGGACTGACCACTAGAGGAAACGAGAGTTGATGGTTTTTAGCATCCATGGAGAGGGGTTTGAAACCCATCCCCTGTGAATATTGGCATCCTTGTGATTTGCTCCATAGAGGTAGCATGTGTGTGCACGGTCTCTTCCGCTCCTGTCTCTGCTCCAAATGCTTATTATTTTTGGTATTTATTATCCAAATCAGCACCATCCCATTTCTAGAAGGAGGGAGGGAGACAAAGGTTATTTCTCTCTCAGGACTCTTTTAAGGCTGCAAGAGGGCATGACTTTTCTACTTGTGAGAACTGGAGTGATTTCAGGTCCAGTGTCCCAAAACTACCAGGGAAAGGTCCACATTTGTGTCTGAACAGAAGGATCCATTTAAATGGCATATAGCACACTTCAAGCAACCCTTTTGAACCTTCTTTGGTACAAACCAAGCCGGGATAAGTTCCTCTCACTGGACACATCCTTGGTACTGCCCATTTATTCCCTTCTGTCCTTCAAGGAAAGTGGGGAAGCATGAATCCAAACAATTCTTCCCACAACCCTGGGAGGTAGATAGGTGGGGATGAGATGCACTGTGCCACTCATGAGGTCTGTGGTCAAGTGGGTATTTATAACTGGGAGGAGAAGGAGGAAGATGCAGATTCCAGCCCTTCATGTCCAGGGACTACAATTTTGTGGTCAGCCATTGTATTCATTGAGCCTGTCTTCCATGGATCGGCATTGAAGATCATAAAATATATCCGACTTAACAAATCCCAAACATGTTGAGAAGAGCAGCCATGCTTGTTTCATGTATGTTGTCATGTGTCTATAAAACAGAAACAATGAAAAATGTTTTGTTTTAATTTTTCTAGTTTGGGGACCTGGAAAGTTGTGGCCAAGTATCAAGACTCCCCAGATGAGATCTTCAGCACACCGTTCGAAGTCAAGGAATATGGTAGGAAGAAAAGCCGTCTTTGTGCTGGGCTTTTTCTCCCCAGTTCCCAATCTCATTCCTTTTAATCCTCAGACTTTTCCTCAGGGAAGATGCCTTGTTTTCCCCCTTCATTTTTGCACTGGGAAGTTACAGTTTCTCCTGTAAGATTGCTAGCCTTATATGATTATTATATGATTATTTTGTTCAGTGTTGCCAAGCTTTGAAGTTGTTCTGGAACCAGCAGAGAATTTTTACTATGTTGACAGCAGCAGAGATTTCCGAGTGTCTATCATTGCAACGTAAGTGTGCGCCAAACTATGGGAAATGTATAGGAGAATGAATCTGATCCCTGCTTAACTTGGTCACATCATCATATTGCTTAGAAGACTGCACTGTGGTGTTCGATTTTGAGTGCTTTCAGCTTTTGCTGTTACTATAAAATTGCTCTGCTTCAACACTGATGGAATTTCACAGGGATTGATGGCAGATGAGAATGTCTTCAACTTGTAATTTGTCCATGTTTCCCCAATTCTTTTACCCTTATTTTCACACACAGACATACAGACAATTCATTAAGTAAAAAAAGATTGACTAGCTATACAGTGTATTTCAGTTCAACGTGTTAGGAATCTTCATCTAGAAACAACTTCAAACATGTCTACTAGGAATATTTAACATTATTTAATTTACAAAAATGCAAAACATTAATGAGGAATGAAGATACAACAATATTTGATTGATTGATTGATTGATTGATTGATTGATTGATTGATTGATTGATTGATTGATTGATTGATGTCCTGCCTATTTAGACCGAAGTCTACTCTGGGTGGCTAACAACAATATTAATTTTTTTTTAAAAACCCAACAATATTAATACACTAGAAGATGGCCAAGACAGGGGGGAAGGCCTGTCTGAAGAGCCAGATTTTAAGTTGGCTCTTAAAAATGCCCAGTGAGGAAGCCAGACAAATATCTTGGGGGAGATTGTTCCAGAGCCGAGGGGGCACTGCCGAGAAGGCCCACTTTCTTGTTCTTTTGGCACTAGGCCCCTCAACTGCCCCTTCTGGCTAGAGCAAATGATACGGGCAGATCTAGGTGGGAGACGGCGTTCCGCCAGATAGTGAGGTCCTAAACCATTTAGGGCTTTATATGTCATCATTAATACTTTGAAATCAATGCAAAATCGAACAGGTAGCCAGTGCAAGGCTGCCAGAGTGGGGCAGATATGTTGATGTTTTCTCACCCCAGTAAGAAATCTGGCTGCCGCATTCTGCACCATTTGAAGCTTCCGCATCAATCTCAAAGGTAGCCCCATGTAGAGCGCATTACAGTAGTCTAATCTCAAGTCTACAAGTGCATGGACCAGAGTGGTGAGGGCCCTGAGCTCAAGATAGAAAATAATATTCAATGTGTTCCCATTAGATTATAATATATAAAATCTAATGGTTTCATCCTGTCTTTTTTACATGCAGTTAATTATGTGCTGCAAAACTATTATTTTGTTATGCATTGGAAAGGATACACTAAAACATTCTATCATTTCTAGCTGTCAATTACTGAGTCACTGCTGGGATTCTCAGAGATGCACAATACCCACTGGCTTGATGACTATTTGAGAAATCTCTGGGGCATACATCACCATCTGGATATGCCTGAATGTTATGGTGTTTCCTTTCTGCATGGATAACAAAGGAACAGAATTTCCACTATAGCGTATATTATAACAAAACTCTGAACTGAAATAACATAAAATAATGATGTAAAACAGGGATTAATCAGAATGAGTGCAAATGAGATGAAAATATTAAAAGCTGAATGCTGCAAAATAATAGGCATTGTAGACCACCTACCTCTGCAAGAACAAAAGGACAGAGTTGTTTTTATACAGTATGATAACTTTTTCAAGAGAGCAACTTTTTCAAAAGAGGATGAAACTCAGCTACTGCAGTTCCACTGTTTTCCTAACTTCTGTGTGTGTGTGTGTGTTTGTGTGCGAACAGCAGTTAACATAATTTCTGAAGAGCTTTGTTAGACCTGGATCATGAACAGTTTATTTTCTAAAATTTAAAAAAAAAATTAGTACATAGTCAACCCTCCACCACAATTTCTGAGGCATGAATAAATGGAAGAGATATGGACAAGAACAAGATTTTGTTTTCCCTACAGATAGTTTATATTGTAGTACAATTGAACTGTAGAAATCTGCCATCCATGTTCATAACCACAAACCAGTGAACAAGAAACAAAGTCCTCAGTTGGAGAAAATCCAAGTGTTAAAACACGTCGATTTGGAGAAGAATTTGGGGTGGGTGGATCAGAAATTCCTCACCCATTCATAAAACTGACTCATCTTTAGGCCTTTGGACCTGTAACAGATGTGATGGGGCAGGTCACAGTTGTTCATATATCTCCCTAAGCAGAAGGGCAGAGCATTTAATTTTAGCATCAAAATAAGCAGAGAGGGAAAGGTTCTCCCTCCCCTCTCATAATATTTTCCTGCCTTGATGCATCCAGACTCTTTGGCTGCACTGGGAGAAAAGTGCTTGAATCAACAGAAAGAAGAAAATCAAAATCCAAACCACAAATGGTTGTTGTGGGTTTTTCCGGCTCTTTGGCCATGTTCTCATGGTTGTTCTTCCTAACATTTCGCCAGTCTCTGTGGCTGGCATCTTCAGAGGACAGGAGTAGCACTCTGTGCTCTGGTGCAGTTTGTTTGGGAGTTGAGTCTTTCTAGCTGTGGGATCAGCTTTTGTCCTTTTCAGGAGATGGGTGATTATGGTGATCGGTGTGTTTTTGTTGTGGGTGTATTGTTGTGATAAGGAGGAGAGATTATCTGTCACTGTGAATGATGGGTGTCATTAGCTGGTCTTGATCACTGGTCGTGGCTGGGTAGAGTTCGTTGACCTTTTGCAGACTGTATTTTTCAGTGCTGGGAGCCAAGCTTTGTTGAGTTTTAAACTTTCATCTTTTTTTTAAGCTCTGCTGGTGTTTGTGGATTTCAATGGCTTCCCTGTGCAGTCTAATGTAATGACTGCTGGTGTCATCCAGTATTTCAGTATTTTGAAATAGAAACCATAAAGGTGACTGTAAGATGTAGTTCAGTATCCTCATCCTTCCACCCCATGTGATGTGGGCATTAAACCTCTCCCCTCCCACATTATGTATGAGCAGGACACGTGAAGAAACTAAGAGGTCTACTTTGGCCCTTAATTTCACTTTGTTCTTCTAGATTCTTCTATGGGAAAAAAGTAGAAGGTGTAGCCTTTGTCCTCTTTGGAGTGAAAATAGATAATGACAAGAAGAGCATTCCAGACTCACTCAGGAGAATTCAGGTAAGGCTACCGGTGTTTGTGAGTGTGTGTGTAGAACTGCTTTTCATACAACCTACAAAGTGCTTTTTTACTGCACTGAAAACAGGCACAAATATTTAAATGGATGCCCTGGTGCAATTTGGGAATGGGGCCAAGGTATGCTTTTAATAACTGCACCAGGGCTCATGCCATGTGAAGTGACTAAAACTGTGGAGAATTAATTTTGCAATGTCTGGTACATGTACTTGTACCCTGTGTGTGTATGTGTATAATTATCTGAGTGTGTGCATATGCCTTTGATTTTCTCCTTTGTCTGGTCTTTCCCTTGCAGATTGTTAAAGGGAAAGGGGAAGCGGTGCTTACAAGAGATATGCTTCTGTCCAGATTTCACAACCTCAACGAGCTTGTTGGGCTCTCCCTTTATATCTCTGCAACAGTGATGACGGATTCAGGTAAGTGATCGTTTGAAGGCAAGAGGAAATCACAAATGATTCATATGTACCAATTCTTGAGTTTGCCTTACTTGATGTAGTTCAAGGCTTTGTTTGCCTTTCAAACATTTCTGCTCTAAACTCTTGCTTGATATGCTTCTTTGATTTTAATTCCTCTATGTCAAATTCAGCACATGAAAGATCTTTTTCAAGAGATTTGGAATTTATCTTCCTGCTGATGGAGAGAAAAAAACATGGGGATGTCTTCCCAGTCTGTCCCTTCCTTTGGAAAAGGAAAAATGTCCAATCTGGATGCTCTTTGTTAATGGGGAAAAACAGTTTTAATTACAGTAAATCTTTTTTTATATATATAGTGTGGAGCTACCTCTTCACACATCTATCTCTGGAGAGCAGAAGATGGAGTAGAGAGGAAAGCTGGCTCACAAAGTGAGCACAGAAAAGAAGGGG